GGCCCTGCCCAGGCTCACAGGCACCTGGGGCAGCCGCTCTCTCTGGGAGGCTTCCCTGTGCCGGGAGGGGAGAGGAGCCAGGCCCCCCCCCATTAGCCTGCTGCCCCGCCAATCAGCCAACCTGGAGCATTGAGCTTTCCCCATTGGCCCTGGGGCCTGTCAGTCTCACCCTCCTCCTGCCTCTTCAGCCCCTCCCCTTTTCTGTGGTACCCTGAGAGGGCTGAGCCCCCGCCCCCTCCAGTGTCACAATGAGGGGCCTCAACCCCGGCCCCTTCATGTCTGTCTGCAAACTGCCCCCCCATGGGCATCCCCCTCGGCCAGCGCCAGGCTGGGGGGGTCACTGGTTCACACTCTGTGGGGCCTGGTAGGCAGCCCCCCTGCTAGGCCCCGGAACGGGCTGCCTGGGGCTTGGGGCGGAACCGCCCTGTGACAAGGCCCCACTTCTGCCTGGCCCCACTTAGGCGCAGTGGGGGGCTCCCCTCCTTCACCTGCACGCGGGCCCAGCCCTGTGCTGACAGAGGCTGCACCGCGCAGCCCCCAGCCAGGGCCACGTGCGAGCAGCCAGGGGGGCAGTGCAGGGCCCTGAAGCCGCGGGGCTCCCCTGGGGCTTGGGGCGGAACCGCCCTGTGACAAGGCCCCACTTCTGCCTGGCCCCACTTAGGCGCAGTGGGGGGCTCCCCTCCTTCACCTGCACGCGGGCCCAGCCCTGTGCTGACAGAGGCTGCACCGCGCAGCCCCCAGCCAGGGCCACGTGCGAGCAGCCAGGGGGGCAGTGCAGGGCCCTGAAGCCGCGGGGCTCCAGGCAACCGCCTCGCCCTGAGACCCGGCCTGAGTGCAGGGACTCTAGTGTAGCGCACCCGGCCCTGGCACAGGACGGAGCGGCCCCTTTCCTGTCCCCGCGCCGGAACTGCCAGACCCGAGTGTTGCAGCTGAGGCCACAAGAAATCTGAGGCAAAAATCGCAGCTGAGACTCCTGCCAACCTCCCCACCTCCTTCCCTCCCTTCACAACCCGACGCGACAAAACACAGTGGCTTTCGGTCCCACTGCGAAGTCCCGCAGCAGCCATGTTTCTGCACCCAGCTCGGGGCAGGCCCTGCCACCCCAGGGCGCTAAGTGAGCCCCGCTCACGTGACTCCCATTCTATCTGTCTCCTCCATGGCCTGTACGCTGGTAACCATGACAGCAGTGACGCCAATGGGGGACGCGGGGTTCAAAAGGCCTAGGGGGTGCTGTAGACTCCCTAAAGTTAGAACCAAGAATTTCATCCCTGACGTCTGCTTCATGCGCCCGCCTCTTCCTTGCAACAGAGCTGGTGCTGCTCCCAGCTTTGCCCTTAGGCCCGGGAGTTTGTTTCTAAGCAGAGGGAGGCAGGGCGATGAAGATAGCAGAAGGCTCGTGACAGCTCCTTAAATAATCATGCAAACACTGCCGGGCACTGCAATTAAAAGACTGGAAACCCAGGGTAGGAGTAACTGGGCACCGTTTATGAAGATCGTTCATAAATGATCTTGGAAAAGGGGCAAACAGTGAGGGGGCAACATTGGCAGATGATATAAAAGGAGTCCAGATAGTTAAACCCAGAGTTGGGGGCCTCACTGGGCGACACACGGGCAGGTGGAATTCAGGGCTGGGAAATGCAAAGCAACGCGCATGGGGAAATATAATCCCACCTGTACCCACAGGAGTGATGGGGACTAAATCAGCTGTTACCCCTCAGGTACGAGATCTTGGAAGGCAGGATACTGGGCTAGATGGGCCTTTGGTCTGACCCAGCCTGGTCAGTCTGCTGTTCTTGTACAGAACCCAGGTGTATCTGCCCCCTGCTGTAACCCACCAGATCCCACTCCCCTCCCAGAGCTGACACAGAGCCCAGCAGTCCTGACAGTGTCTCTCTCCCGACAGAGTTAGTAACAAAGTACAAATATATATTAACATTTTAAGCCTAACCCGTCTCCACAATCAGGAGTCCCATGGCACCTTAGAGACTGACAAAGGTCAAGGATCATGAGCTTTTGTGGGTTAAACCGACTTCATCAGATACGCTGGAGTGGAAAATACAGGATCCAGGCAGGTGCTATAGAGCAGCAAAAGCAGTTATCAGTCAATTGCAGGAGCAGTGTCTATGAATCTCATTGGTCAGGCTGGATGTGTCCCATTCGTAGCTTTTGCTGTGGAAATGCAAATATCAAAGGCAGGGGAAATTGCCTTTGTAGTGCATTAACCGGTTAATATCTATATTCAGACCCAAGCTGATAGCGTCAAACTTGTGCATGAATTCCAGGTCTTCAGTCTTCCTCTGTGACTGGGTGGTGAAATTCCTTTGTAGAAGAATGGCTACTTTAAAAACTATTATCGAGTGGCCAGGCAGGTTGAAATACCCCCCTCCAGGTTTCTGCATGTTACCATTCCTGATGTGTGATTTGTGTCCATTTATCCTTTGGCTCAGAGACTGTCCAGTCTGGCCACTGCACATAGCAGAGGGGCATGGCTGGCACTTGCTGGCATAGATCACATTGGGGGATGTGCATTGGTATGAGCTGCTGACGTGGAGGCTGATGTGCTAGGGCCTGTGATGGTGTCTCTTGTGTAGATGTGTGGCCAGCGTTGGTACCGGGGTTTGTGGCAGGGCGATGCTCTTGTATAGGTGGGCCTGAGGTGAGATGTGTGGCTGCTGGAAAAGATTTGGGGGCGTGGGGTATCTGCAGGTGGGCCCTGGCCTGTCTCCCAAGCCCTGTGAGAGGGAGGGAGGGAGGGTTTTCCAGGCCGGTTTTCAGACTGTCAATGATGAGCTGGCGGGGTTTGAGCTGGGGCCAGAGGTGATGACTAGTGAGGGTCCTGTTATCTTCCTTCTGGGGCCTGTCTTGAAGGGGGTGACTGCTGTGCGCTTGTCTGGCTCCGTCAATCCATTTCCTCACTTCACCCGGTGGGGATTTGAATTTTAAGGGTGCCTGATAAAGATCTCGTGGGGGTTTGTCTCCGTCTGTGGGACTAGAGCGGAGCCGTTTTTTTCTTAGGGCCTGGCTGCAGACAACGGATCACGTGATGTGTCCGGGGTGGGTAAGACCAGCGGGCTGTAGGTTTCTGGTACAGGGCGGCGCTAATGTGACCATCATTTAATTGCGCTGCAGTGTCCAGGAAGTGCATCTCTTGTGTGGATTGGTCCGGGCTGAGGGTGAAAATTGTGGAAATCCCGCTGGAATTCTTCAAGGGTCTCCTTCCCCGGGGTCCAGAGGATGAACATACTGTCAATGTATGCAAGTGGAGGAGGGTGCGCGGGGACGGGAGCTGAGGAAACGTTGTTCAAGGTCAGTCGTAACCATGTCGGCTGATTGTGGGGCCGTGCGGGTGCCTAGGGCTGTGCTGCTGACAGGAAGGTTTAAACAAGAAGGAGTCGTTGGGCAGTTAAAGATTTATCTGGGCAGCCACCCCGAGGACTGGACCCACTTGGCTGGGGGCACAAAGAGGACACTGGAGATGGGTCGGGCAACCGTGCGCCAGCACCGACAAGCGTGTTCCCGTGCGACGTGGGACCCGTGCGAACGAGGCCAAGCCACTCGGTGGATGTGGCACGATTCCAGTCGCTGGTGAGGCGGCGTGAACAGGTGAAGGGGGAAATGACTTTGTGAGCCCGCCCAGTCTTGCTTCAGACCAGTCTGACAGGTTCCTCTAAGTGCTTCTGGATCCTTAATTGAATCATCATTCCTGTCTAATCTTCATCAGTTTGCTGCCTTGTGTAAACCAAGCCCAGAGTCCTGCCGGGGACAGAGGCTGGGACGGGCACCTCTCTGCAGCGCTCGCATTCCCCACTAATCCCAGCAGCACCCAGCTCCACCTGGAACCCACTTCCTGTATGAACCTCCCGTGAGACATTGCCAGCCCTGAGTGCATCAGTGTGGGATGTTTTGCAACAGACAATGCTTCAAATCAAGGAACGGGAGCAAAGTGGGCCAGAGAGACGCAAGACAGAACAGAAGCTGCTCAGCACATATAGCCCTGCCCCCATCTCTGCCCCCCAAGCCTGCAAAACTGCCTCGCCCCCCAGCAGCTCCTTGCTCCCTACGGCCGGCCCCACCTCCAGCCTCTATCCAACTTTCCGGGCCAAATGTGTCATCCTGGCACAGCCCATGCCAAGCTGTGGATACAGGAGCAGGGGAGAGGCTGCCACACTGAAATTCCCAACGCCAGCTTGCTATTGGTGCTGTGCCCAGGGAAACTGAGGCACACACAGGGGGTTCCTGCAGGACAGTAGAAATCACATGCAGCGCAACAAAGTGAACAGAGTGAATGCAATCCTAACGTCGTCATGTCTCTCTCCCCCTCCCAGACCGAACTGAGCAGGGTCCCTTGGCCAGCTGCCTGGGGAAGTTCAGAGCCTGTGATATTCGTGCTCCCCTAAACCCCTGCTGCAGCAGCAGGCTCTGCCTCAGAGCTCGGCACTGGACCCCTGCATCTGGTGCAGCCACATCAGGGGAGCAGGGTCGGTTCCACCAGGCAATGCTGCCCAAAGAGATCTGGCTGCAGCTTTTAGGGACCCACCCCAGGGCCAGGCGTCCTTCTCTCCGGTCGCGTCGCTCTGCTCCCAGGGCAGCAGCTTCTTGCTCAGGTAACTGATGGGGTGTCGTTTCTCCTTTTCCTCCCCCAGCATCAGCACTGCCCCTAGCCCAGAGTCAGTGAGCACCAGGAAGGGCTTGTCACAGTGTGGGTTTGCCAGCAGTGGGGCTCTGACCAGGGACTCTGCCAGCGCGCAGAGAGCCCCCCGGCTCAGCTCGGCCCAGCCCACCCTGTCTGACCTCCCCTTCTCACACAGCTCAGTGATAGGGGCGGTGATGGAGCGACGTGGGGCACACACCTCCGGGAGTGCCCTGCCAGCCCAATGCAGGCCTGGACCGGCTTTTGGTGTGGGGAACCGGCCAGTCTCTGAGGCCCTCCACTGTGGCCGGCTCTGGTTTCAAGCAGCCACTCCCCAGCTTATGGCCCAGGTAAGACACCTGGGCCATCCCCACCTGGCACTTCCCAGCCTTCAGAGTCAGCCCGGCGCCCCGCAGCCGCCCAGCACCTGGCTGGCCTGGGACACGTGGTCCTCCCAGCTCTGACTAAACACACAAATATCGATAGAATCCAGGGCCAAACCCTCCATCCCCCGCAGCCGCTGGTCCAGCAGGCACTGGAAGGTGGCTGGCGCCCTCTTGAGGCCGAGAGGCAGGACCGGGAACTCCTAGAGCCCCAAAGGGGTGAGAAAAGCCGATTTCAGCCAGGAGCCCGCTCCGGTCCCAGGGAACAGATCCACCGGGGCATCATCTCCCTGCCTGCAGGGCACTGAGGCAGTCCATGGTATTTCGCTAAAAACCCCCATTCAATCTAAATTTGAGACAGGCCTGTCACTTCACAGCACGGACAGTTTGAGTGGAGGGGCCTTGGGAAGGCTCAGTCGCCCTGGCAACCACATTCCAAGGGGCTGCGCCAAGTGATGCCAACCCAGCCTTGCTACTGCGTGTTGCTTTAATCCTAGATAATGGGCCCATAAACTCAGGGATCACGTCGCACGCGGCGCCCGTAACCCCTTCACAGACGCAGCATCATTTAACTAGACCAAAATTGCCTTTTAATTGTCTGTTTGTTGATGTTGGCTTATTGAGCTTGTTAAGGCAACTATTTGCATTAGAGATAAGGCGTCTGTTTGGCAATGGGCGGAGGTGCTGTGTAACCTTCCGAGTTTGTTGGCTTAGATGCTCATTTCATCTTGCCGCCAGTCTGGATCACATTGCTTCTCCTCCATCCATCTGCCGCCTATATAATCTATTGCCATGTTTTGCTTAACCAGTGTTCACCAGGATAGCCCCTGGTTGGCACTCCACCAGCTGTGTGTAATAAATCCTCTGACTCTTTTTCACCTGCATCCAGAGTGTCCAGGCTTATTCCCTGCACTGCCCCTCCCTGTGCCCATCTATGGCCAGCACCAAATTCTCCTTGTCCCATCCTCGCCCACCCTCTGGTAGGAGTTGCAGGACCAGCTCCAGGTCGGTCTCCTCTTGGCTCTGCTGCACACTCCAGAATGTTTTCTTGTGCGCCTGTGGGATCAGCCCAAACTCATGTCCTGGGCTCGTTTAAAGAGTTTATAACCCCCCTTCCCAATCCTGTGCATTTGGCTGAGCAAAGTGCACCCTCAGCTCCTCCACCCAGGCCTCCACCAGTATCGACCTGCTCTACGAGGGCGTGGACTTCTACACAGCCATCACGCGGGCCCGCTTCCAGGAGCTCAACGCCGACCTCCCCAGCACCACGCTGGGGCGGGTGGAGAAGGTGCTGCACGACACCACGCCGGACAAGTCCCAGGTGCATGACGTGGCGCTGGTCAGTGGTTCCACCTGCATCCCCAGGATCCAGAATCTGCTGCAGGATTTCTTCAATGGGCGGGAGCCGAATAAGAGCAGCAACGTGGACAAGGCTGTGGCCTCCCGCACTGGTTGGGGGGGGAGGGGCCATGGCTGCACATCTCGCTCTTGGGTTGATAAAAAGAACGAACTTCCTGAGCTTTGTCTGTGTAAACCTTCCCTAGGGGGTGTGACACCGGAGCTTTGTGAGGACACTGCTGAGAGATGAAGGTTACTCACCTCGGCAGTAACTGGAGTTCTTTGAGATGGTGTCCCTGTGGATGCTCCATGTTTGGTCTTGGTGCCAGCACCTGGATCAGAGATTTTGCAGCAGTTGCTGCCGGGACACGCATGTTCAGCGCAAAACAGAGCGCGCCGTGCCAGTCGGTACTGTGCACGGGCGGCCTGCACCCTCCCGTTCTTTCTCTGCCCCGGAGGCCCTCGTCTGGACTGTTCTCTCGGGATGGACTTCACTTAAGGGAAATAGACTTCTAGGATGGAGGCCGGCACAACTGATTAAGAGAGCTTTAAACTAGGAATTTGGGGGAGACAGTTGGGAGATGTCCAGGTAATCTCTACACCGGATTTTAGCATTGAGAGGGAGAAAAACAAAGTAAGAAAGGATATAGTTGGGAGTAGGAGAATGGACATGAGGAAGGGCAGAGTGGATACCAGTCTAATAGGTCATATTGAAGGTACAACGTCCGTGCCAAATTAGGTAAAGAATGTGAGTGAGGCCAAACAGGAAAAATTAAGATGTTTGTACACCAATGCGAGGAGCTTAGGTAATAAAATGGAGGAACTAGAGCTATTGGTCCAGGAAGTGAAACCAGATATTATAGGAATAGCAGAAACATGGTGGAATACTAGGCATGACTGGAGTACAGGTATTGAAGGGTATGTGCTGTTTAGGAAAGACAGAAATAAGGGTAAAGGTGGTGGAATAGCACTGTATAGCAAAGATGAGGTAGATTGTAAAGAAATAAAAAGTGATGGAATGGAGAACACAGACTGTCTGGGCAAAAATCACAATGGGGAAGAATACTATTAGATCCTCCCCAGGGATAGTGCTTGGGGTGTGCTATAGATGACCAGGATCTAATTTGGATATGGATACAGACCTCTTTAATGTTTTTAATGAAGTAAATACTAATGGAAACTGTGTAATCATGGGAGACTTCAACTTTCCAGATATAGACTGGAGAACAAGTGCTAGTAATAATAATAGGGCTCCGATTTTCCTAGATGTGATAGCTGATGAATTCCTGCATCAAGTAGCTGCTGAGCCAACAAGGGGGGATGCCATTTTAGATTTGGTTTTGGTGAGTATTAAGGACCTCACAGATGAAATGGTTGTAGGGGACAACCTTGGCTCGAGCGATCACGAGCTAATTCAGTTCAAACTAAATGGAAGGATAAACAAAAATAAATCTGAGACTAGGGCTTTTGATTTCAAAAGGGCTGACTTTAATAAATTAAGGAAATTCGTTAGGGAAGTGGATTGGACTAAAGAATTTACGGATCTAAAGGCAGAGGAGGCCTGGGATTATTTTAAGTTAAAGTTTCAGAAGTTATCAGAAGCCTGCATCCCAAGAAAGGGGAAAAAAATTATAGGCAGGTGTGTTAGACCAAGCTGGATGAGCAAGCATCTCAGAGAGGTGATTAAGAAAAAGAAGAAAGCATATAAGGGGTGGAAGATGGGAGGGACCATCAAAGAAAGCTACCCTATTGAGGTTAGAGCATGTAGGGACAAAGTGAGAAAGGCTAAAAGTCATGTAGAGTTGGACCTTGCAAAGGGAATTAAAACCAATAATAAAAGGTTTTATAGCCATCTAAATAGGAAGAAAACAAAAAAAGAAGAAGTGTGACTGCTAATCACTGAGGATGGAGTGGAGGTTAAGGATAATCTAGGCATGGCCCAATATCTAAACAAATACTTTGCTTCAGTCTTTAATGAGGCTAATGAAGAGTTTAGGGATAATGGTAACATAAATGGGACCAAGGATATGGAGGTAGATATTACCATATCCGAGGTAAAAGCCAAACTTGAACAGCTTAATGGGAGTAAATCAGGGGGCCCAGATAATCTTCATCCAAAAATATTAAAGGAACTGGCACATGAAATTGCAAGTCCATTAGCATAATTTTTTAATAAATCTCTAAACTCAGGGGTTGTACCATTTGACTGGAGAATAGTATTCCGTTTTCAGCAGTTCCGGAAATTCATGCCAGTGTAGACACAGCCAATGGCTCTGAGAAGCAGGGGGCCAGGCTGTCCACACCCCAACTTCATGCCGGGCAGCTGTGTGAGTCCAGCGGGGGGGTGGGGGAGCGGTTAGTGGGCGTGGAGGGGGATGGGAGATGGAAGGGAAGAACCAGCAGGTGGAAGACCCCCTCTGCCCCCCAGCCTTATACACCAGGCAGGAATGGGGAGGGGAGGAAAAAAGCCGATGCCAGGGCTGGGGGCACTGGGGGTCACTGGTATAAATCAGCGATGGGGGGGG